ATTGGGTGAAAAGAGAGTATCAGGTTGTACAGATAAGGCAGAGGAAACAAATCTAATAGTCAACGAAAATAAAAACCCGAGCAGAATATGTAAGAAATCTACAACATTGTAAAAATGCCAAATCTATGGCCAAGCGTGGTGGTGCTCACCTATAATCCTAGCACCTGGAAGGCAGAGGCAGGTAGACCTCTTGAGGCCAGCCTGGTCTGTGGAGTGAGTTCCAGGATAGCCAGGGACACACAGAGAGACCCTGTCTTGAAAAACAAACAAACAAACAAACAAACAAGATCAAATCTATGAATAAGTATAAAAGAAATGCAGGTCAAAGATGTAAAAAAAATCTTCAACAAAACCAGAAGAAAAATTCCCAAATCTAAGGAAAGAGCTGTTTATCAAGGTGCAAGAGGTATACAGAATGCCAAAACCAGAAATGAAACTATGTAGTCAGATAATAAAAACACTGAATGTACAGAAGGGATGTTGGAAGTAACAAGAGAGATCAGGCCACCTACAAAGGCAGATTAATGCCTGACTTCAACGGAAACTTTGAAAGCCAGGGGACCACAGACACTAGCCAAGACTACTATACAAGTAAAACTATCAGTCATAGTCAAAAGAAAAACTTTCTAAGAAATTTATATCCATTAAGCCAGCTGTACTGAAGAGAAAATTAAATATAGCTAATACATAATCCCAGAACAGCTAATCAACACAAGTTTGAGAAAACACTACCACCACAACCAAATAACAGCAATTAGTAAACACCGCTTAACAAGCTGTGACATTAATGGTTTAAATTCTTAAAAAAAAAAAAAAAAAAAAAAAAAAAGGCACCTCCTTAAGGTGAAAGAACAGAAAAGGCATTTCAAGGAAACGTTGTCAAGAAGCAAGCAGGTGCAGTTATTCTAATGTCTGAAAAAATGGACTTAGATTACTATTTGTTCCCCTAAATTCATTAACAAATATTTTGAGAAGTAATGTAATTCCATATATTCTCTCTAAAATAATGCACTGTGTCTTTGTGTCAGGGAACTCAGTAGGTGCCAGTTCAGAATTAGAGGCCTGTTTGGAATCTTGCCTTTAACACTTAGGTTCTTGATGACTGAGGCAAGTTACTCAGCAGAATTCCTTATTGGACAAGGCTAACAATACCTGTTCCACAGAATTAATTTTGAGACACTGTATTAGCAGGATATGCATAGTAGGTGGCATTTACTGAGCTGCTGCTAGGAGGCTGGAGAGAAGACTCGGTTAAGAGTAACTGTCTGTTCTTCCAGAGAACCCAGGTTTGGTTTCCAGCACCCACACAGAGGCTCACAACCATCTGTAACTCCAGTTCCAGGGGATTAGACACCCTCTTCTGACCTTCTTTAGTCTCCACAGGTACCAGGCATGCATAGTAACACACATATAAGCAAAACATCCATATATATATACATACATATATGTATATATATACACACATACATATACATACACACACACACACACACACACACACACACACGTATATACTTGTTTTTCAAGACAGGGTTTCTTTTTGTAGACCATGCTGGCTGCAAACTCAGAGATCCACCTGCTACTTCCCAAGTTCTGGGATTACAGGTGTGTACCACTGCACCTGGTTTAAGAAATACTTTTATAAAACAAGTTACTAGAAAATGGAAATAAAAAAAAAAAAACCAAAACATCACAATATAGCTCTGGATGGTATATTTATAGGTACTAATCTGTTAAATGGTTCCATGCTTCTAGATTCTTATTCTTTCTTAAATGTCTTGGCCAGGAACAAGGGGTCTGGGGACTGGCACTAACAGATCAGGCTTTTGGTTGCATTCTTCCAGAATAACTAAAACTAAAACTGAATCTCACAAAGTCAAAGCAATGGAAGGAAGCATTGCCTTTAGCCAGGGTCCACCTAGTGGTCTCTTCCCAGCCTTAAACACAATGCTGGCACCCAACCACTCACCCTTCAGGGCTCCTTCAGCTTTGAACTCAAGGCTTTTTTTGGAGGGGAAGTGGGGGGTCAGTGCTTTGCTGATAGCCAAAAATTCTATTGCTGAGCTGTATCCTCAGGCTTCAGAACATTTCTTTTCTCTCTTTTTGAGACAAGGTCTATCTAGATCCACCTGCCTCTGCCTCAAGTGCTAGGACTAATCCAATTGAAATCTGCCTAATCTGGGAATTTATTTTTTAAACTTCAACTTCAGCTTAAAGTTAAATAAGCATGGCTTAATCACCATAAAACATATCTTTTTAATGTCTGGAGCCAGATAGATAGGTAAATCAACTTTTTTTTGAGACAGGGTTTCTCTGTGTAGCCCTGGCTGTCCTGGACTCACTTTGTAGCCCAGGCTGGCCTCAAACTCATAAAGATCTGCCTGCCTCTGCCTCCCAGGTGCTGGTGTTAAAGGCGTGTGCCACCACCGCCCATCTGTAAATTTTCAATAGTAAATTTTATGAATTTTTGAGATATGCTTCAAATTTATTTACACGCTAGATTTCAAATAGTTGAGAAGAGTAATGAAAAACACTAAAACTAGCGGACTGGAGAGATGGCTCAGCAGTTAAGAGTTCTGTATAGCTTTGGCTGCTCTGGAATTCACTACGTAGACCAGGCTGGCCTTGAACTCAGAGCTACAACTGCCTCTGTCTTCTGAGTGCTGGGATTATGCCACCACCACCCGGCTCACATTCATTTTTTAAATGTAGCTACTACAAAATTATGTCGCATACCATTTTTACCTGATGGTCATACTTTCATGATCTTACCCAAAACCTAGCTGCCACTCCTGACTCCTCTTTCCCTCCCTCCACATTTACTGAGCAAGACAGATTATGTCTGGTAACAGCTGTGTCATGGATCCATCTGCTTTCGTCTTTACTGCTGTCCACGCTACTCCACTCCCCACAGCTTTCAGTGACTTCATCTCACCAGAGCCGCAGCCTCACTTCTTACCATCCTCTCTTTGCTCCCCTAGACTTCCTCCATACTGACTTTGAGATTCTGTTAGATTTCAAACTGCCTCAACTTCTTCCCACTCAAGGTCTAGCTCAGACAACGCCTCAAGCAATACCATCTCTAACCAAGTGTTTGCTTTTTCACTTGGAGAACTACTTTATCCAGTTACCCTTTCATTTTTTTGAGTGAAATTATGTGGTATCATCTCTCTTCTTTGTTGCTATTTTTCTTTCCTAGCACACAGAACAGTATCATAGAGAATGGGTGTTCCAACAGCTGCTGAATGAATAACAGCATGACCGTTGCTTAGACACGCTCATGGCTTTACATGGTCAAAACAGAAGCTCCACCTTCCCTAGCACATATTGCTCTCCCTTTGCCTCCACTTCCAGTGAACACATCCACATCCCTCAGGTCCCTCTGGCATCTCTCTCAATCATTCTTACATATAGCCAAGCAAATTCTCCAAACCCCCATAAGCAGTTGTCATTTTCTTCATTCTTACTTGTGACTACTTCACCCCAAGTCATCATCGTCTTCCAAATTACTGCTTCTCCATGCCTTGGACTTTCTGCTTAATAGTTATGGGTCAAAAAGATCAATTCATTGATTAAGATGACATTTGAGGCTATCACTAAAACCTCTACAGATACATCTCTGGGAATGCCTGAAATGGTGTCATTTTTTCCAGTCTCCCCAGTGCTTTCCTGTTAAACTTGTTTCCTTTGGTTGGAAGGCCTGCACCAATTTCCTCACTAAAGCGAATGGCTTCTATGGAGCCATTTGATCCCTCCACGAAGGTTAGTGCGTGGGGAACTTCCTCTGAGACCATACCGCGTTCAGCAGCGGGGATAACCACTGATGATATATACTTGTTATACCACAGCACAAGGGCAAGAATTCGGCAGAAATCATTAACTGAATATTTACTCAAAATGTTATGGAAAGTGTGATAATTAAAAAAAAAAATCTGTAATAGCTGGACGTATTGGCACACGCCTTTAATCTGAGAGGCAGAGGTGGATCTCTGTGAGGTTGAGCTCAACCGTCTGTCTACACTGTGTATTCCAGGACAGAACTTCACATAGTAAGATCCTGTCTCAAACAAAAAAACCAGCCAAAATCCAAACCAAACCAAACAACCCAACAACCCCCCCCAATAAATATTAAAACAAAAGAGAAAAAAAAAAAAAAAAACATGGACTATGCTCTCCCATTCTATTTAAGTCACACTACAAACTTTCACTATATTAATAGTGGAGACACGATTACTATCTGAGGCCACACACACAAATCACTGAACAGTTTGGATCTCATTTAAGCCTTTTTGCTCTTATGTTAAATTCCCGGTGGTTTCTTAGGTATTCCCATTCCTAGATACTGGATGACAAACGTTCTACGGGTAGTGAGTGGACTTCTCTGTTAAATATATCAAAGTGGAATTTTTGGGTATTGGTTAAATTTATAAGACCCTTTTCTCACGAATAAACCAGCTCCCAATGAACTCTTGGCACAGCGGCACACGCCTTCAATCCCAGGAAAAAAAAAAAAAAAAAAAAGAGGCAGAGGCAGGCGGATCTCCGTAAGTTCTGGGCCACCCTGGTCTATAAGGTGAGTTCCAGGATAGGCAGGGCTGTTACAGAGAAGCCCTGTCTCGAAAACAAGTAAACCAAAAGCCCGACACTACAGACACCTAGAAAGAGTCTGTTGCAACATTAAAACAAAACCAAAAAGCCCGCAAAGCATCCTCCTCACAACAGGACCAGCTCAGAGCAGGCGAAGAGGAACATCCTCTGTTCCTGCACTGGCTCCTCGAAACCAGCGAGTCCAGGCCGACCTTCCGGGACTTTAAGGTACATCCTAGGTTCCCGGCTGCTTTTCCGCACGCCGGGAGCCTGCCAGGACACCCCGCGAGCAACCTTAAGCCCCGGGCGGGCCGCGACCCCTGCGATTTACGCGCCACGGCGAGGAGACGGGCCGCCCGGCACACGCACCCAGGCCCCACGCATCCCGCCCCGGGGCGCGGGGCGCACCCTCGGCCGCGCACATGGCCTCCGCGGTGCTCACCCCGCTGCCGCGCAGGCGCCGGGCGAGCCGGGACTTGCGGTCGGCCCCGCGGATCATTCCGCCGCCGCCTTTGTGTGGCCGAACGCTAGAAATGGCTTATTTCCCCTCCCTCCGTCCAAAGTCAAACCCAGACCCTCTGGTCCCCCTCGGTCGCCGGAACCCGGCCGGGGGAGAGCGGCGGAAGGCTCGCTCCCGGGGGCGGGACCCGGCGCGGGCTGGCCGGGCCGCCGCGGGCATGCTGGGAGTGCGCCCGCCGTGTCCCTCCGCGCCGACGGGGACTTTTCGGTGGGGATTTTGGGCGCCGACCAGACGCGGCATTTTCGGAAAATAGCGCCCCGTGCAGCGAAGCGCTCCGTGTGTGGCGGGGCCGCGTCAGCCCTGCCGGCTCCGAGGCGCCGCGGTCCCCGCACCTCCTCCCGCCGCTCCCCCGCCGGCGCTCCCGAAGCTTTTCCAGGTCAGTGCGGGTCTGTGTAGGGCCCTGTTACCACCGGATGTGGAAGTTGATCTCTTCGCTGGTAAAAAATAATTCCACTTCCCCCGGAACCCAGATCATCCCCGCGATTTCCTGTTTATTGCATTAAGGCGCCGGGTTTCCGGGGCTCCTGGCCCCGCTCGTTTGGCGGGGGTCGGCGGGGTCGGCCTGGGTGTCCGCGCCGCCGCCGCCGCCGCGCTTTGTCCGCCTGGCGCTTGGCTCCTGGGAGGGGCGGCAGACATGGTGGCGGCCGCCGCCCCCTCCTCGGCCCGGCGCCGCCACCTCCTGCGGGCCCC